GTGGATGCCCCCTCCTTGTAAGTGTTCAAGGACATACTGGATGGGGCTCTGAGCAGTCTGGTCTAGTGGGAGATGTCTCTGCCCATGGAAGGGGAGTTGGAACTAGATGGTCCTCAAGGTTCTATGATCTGGATAAAAAAGCAATAGGTAAAGTGATCCTGTCCACTGAGCAACACGCCAAAGGGTTAAATTCCAAATGACACCAGCAATTTCAGTGTCCTGCCAGAACTTTATAGCATGAGAACAGGCATTGTATTCTATTAGGATTTGGAATTACTGTTCATGGTGTGTCTCAAGACTTTTCTGATACTACCAAACTTATGACACAGCACTCCCAACTCAATGCCCCTTTAAACTCTGGAAAAGTTTCTTTTCCAGAAGTAAAATATTTCAACTCAAGGCTCATCTACTCAGACAAACACCAGAAAAAGATTTATAGTCATTCATGCAGGAAGTTAGTTAATAAACTACAGGGAAAATCTGGAATTATTTTATTATAATTATAATTAATAATGTATTATGGTGATTATGGCTTGGCTGAGAACAAACAGGCCAGCCTGAGCTAGTCTGAGATAACTGCCAAAACTTCTGCATATGTGACAGATGGTGGAAGCATTTTAAAGACTCCCTGTGCACAAGAACTCTGTGTAACAGGGGCTCAGATTCAAGGCGACAGCAAAGTAGCTGAAGCAGGTCATGGTAAAAGCACACTAAGCAGCTTACTCTACCGTTAAAGCTTTGGGCTTCAATCGAAGAAAAGGTTAAAAAAATAATAAAAAAATAGTTCATTCATGAGATGTAAGGGGAAAGTGGTTGCACAATTTATGTTGATTGTTGACTGATGAAAGTGAAGGAAACTGTGGATTTTGATAGATTGCAGTAAATTCAGCAGGTATAGGGGGTGGCAGGGCAATGACTGAACTCAGTGAAGCTATAACCCCTTCTAAATGGGCTTGTTAAAACTTTCCTAACAGTTTTTATGGATAACATAGGGCGGTTTGAAATAATTGCAACTTATTTTTCAGTAAACCTTGTTCTTCCCAAGAAGATAATTCATTTTTTGTGCTTACATCTAATCTCTTTTGGCTCATCTAACTTTGAAAAGGGTTTTGAACTCCAAGAATGTTTCTCAAATACTCCCTTCTAAGAGTCCCAGAGGCAAATGCTCGAATGTAGAGGAGGGAGACAGAACAATAAATGAAAAGTAATATCATACTGCTGAGCACTCCCCTAACCACATCCCAAGTTACAACTGCTACAGAATGTCCATCTTCCTCTTTAACTAATTTCATAAGCAAGGTAGATTTCAAGGAACAGGCATTTATAGACCCTCAAAAAGTCTGCATTTGAAAAAAAAAAAAAATCAAAAGAAGACTGATTCAGCCATTGACATCTGATACTGCCTATGTCCCTTCAACCTTTAACTGAACCATTACAATTTTCCATAGAAAACGCACATATGCTGGGTTCCTTTCTACACCAATATGCTTTCCAAAGCAGTACAAAAGCAACATTTAAGCCCTGGATTATGTTGCATTCATGAATTTAACTTTTTATGAAGTTGTTTAGAGAGCAATTTAATATTATGATTATTTGGTTGAGCTATCTCAGGCTAGGTTTCCACATGGAGATCCTTCAACTATTTGCTTTTTGGCAAGAAGTGGAGATGCAGGTGCTGTCTAAAACCAATTTAGAGTGGAATCAAAGTGGGGACCTTATTATCTTTTTACACCAGTTCCATGCTCTTAATTTCCAGTATTTATTCCTAAAATGAGAATCAGTGTGAAAGTTCATATTTGCCAGCAATAGCATTACCCTCAGAGATACCATCAGCCCACATATCTGAAGAATATTGCACCGTCAGCTCACAAAGAGAAGACATTTTAAAATATAAGCAGAAGCTGTAATTTAGGTTGTTAGAAAAAAACAAAGTTCAATTTGCATTAAGAACATGGGGATGATGTCAACAAAAGTTGCTGGCTCTAGTGATAGACAGAATACAGAAACTTCTTCCCTGCCTGCTAATGTAAATCAGATATTTGCAGCATATAATTTATATTCTGTCTGCACAGAAATGCCAGCAGAGTCCTTTACAGCAAAAAGGCCAGGGCAAATCATGCCAATTATGAAAAAGGCTTATACTAATGATACCATAGAGAAAATGCCTATGTCCTTCACATATCTACTAGGATGACAGAGAGAAGAATTATCCTCTTGCATGGAAGTTCATCATACCAGTGGCAAGGCATTACTTGAAGTTCTTACACAAATCCTATTTTTTTTCTCAGAGTAGAAAAAATAAGATATGTGAGATAAGATGAAATTTCAGGTACCCACACTGTTGGGAAGGACTAAAAACTATCCTGACAAACAAATTGAAAGTTTCAGTAATCTCTGTATTGCTTTTTCCACCTGATTTCATATAATAAATTTGAGACACATTGTTGAAGATCAGCACAAACCATTTTTTGTGTATGTTTGACCTAGTACAGGTTTTTTTAGGACCATTTTGGCAAGCATTTTTTGTTTTTTTTTTAATCATCAGAACTCACAAAATATATTTCTTTCTGCTTCCTAGACACCTTCTTGTATCTTCAAGGAATAGTATAACCTTATCAATAAATCCCTCTCTGTGTCAAAAAAGCGCAATTAGGGTGGCAAATGTCAAGCACTGAAAGGTCAGGAATCTCCATAATTGTCTGGATGACAATAATTGAAACCCCTTATGCATGAGCATTATGATAAAGCTTTTAATTACATAATAGCATATAGTATGTTCCATTACAAACTGTTTAGTGGTTTAGAAGAGCACGTGAGTCCAACTTTCATTCTTTGTGTCATTACATACTAAATCCTACTTCACTTTAAGCTCAAAAATTACTTTGGGGCTGGCTCATGCAGTTTGCTAATGTCAAGAGCAGGTTGCAAATGCAAAGTGAAGATGGAAAATATCAAGATTTCAGTGATTCTGATACAATAAATCTTCCCAGGATACACATGAACTTCATTCTTTTAGATGCCTTGTATCTTGCATAAAATTGGTCAGCTTTTCACTCAAGACCAAAAATAATTTCCTGACAAGTTTGATGTCCCTGCTCCACAACCTGGCGAGCAATAGACTTACAGATGAAAGATAGAGAAGCAGCAGAGTAGTTTTTAGCACAACATTTTTAGACTGTCTGACTAGGTTGAATAAAGAGAAAACAGAACAGATTTATGTACCGGGAAATGCTGAGCAATCTTATTAAGAAGAAATAACAATCTCCTTGTGATTTCACATGCAAAATATGTCTGTACCTGCACACTGTATAGAAAAAACTAATGCATACATGACTAAATAACACTTCAAAGCAAAACAAACACAAAGTGTCAGAGAGGCACCTAGAGCTTGAAGAATACTAAGAACATGTCAAAAATCCCTTCATTTGGGCCTTTTTTTTTTTCTTTTTTTTTTTTTCTTTTTTTTTTTTCCAGGAAAATGCCCATGGCTTGAAACCTGGGTGTGAATATTGCATGGTGGGAAGAGCTTTAATAACTTCTCTACCAGGTGAATAAAAAGATACAGACATACAATGTGGGGGCTAGAGACCTTCTCTCTCTTTAATTACATGACTCCCAGACTCTGAATTTTCCACCCTCTCTCCCACTTTAAGCTAAAGGTTCTTTTTCTCACATACAGAGCTCCAGAAAAGTCCCTCCAGCCCACATCTCATTTCTCATTTCTCCTTCTGTTACTGCCTGACTTCTATCCAAATTATTTTCTTTAACGCCTACTGTACATTTTCTGTGGTCTTTGCGTCAGTGCTCATGTTCCAAAGAACTCAGCTGTGTTCATTTGAATTGTTATTTAAAATAGGCTTTTTCTGAAGGGTCAACAAATGCTAATCTCTCAGCTAAAGCAACCTTCTTTTTCAAGTAATTTGTTCACTAGAGGAAAATTATTTTCCTTACTCTGATGCACTGCATCCACTGTTTGACTAACGCAGACTATCTTTGACTTGTGTCACAGACATATTTTCACCCCAAACCTGTGAAAAGTAAAAGTTATGTAATACCTACATTAACATACTAGAATGTCTTCAACTAATTTGCTGGGTTTGTAAAATCAGAGCCATTCTGTGACTTTTTTCTCCCTTCCAGATTAAATACTTTTTCTTTTTTCATAAGAAAAACCTTGATTTTAAAAAGACGAGACTGAAATCAACCCCCTCAAGCTGAACATTGCCAAATTTCACAGCTGCTCCTTGTCTCTCTTATGGTCTGACCAAAACCTCAGAGGTAACAGCTCTAAGTTCTGCAAAAGCTGGGTTAGGAATTTTTATTTTTCAGACATGGATAGAAGCCACCAATATGAATCTACTTTAAGCTCAAGGAAAAGAAACAGAAAATGTTTGCTTAATCTGCAGAAGTACTAGCAGGAGGGTGTTTTTATGTGCACGCCATATATTAATGTGTAAAGGCAGGAGAGAGGTTCTTTTTTCACACTGCATAGACAATGGGACAGAACCTCACTCCTTACTTCTCACTTCCCACAGCTCATGGATGCTGCCTTCTTCTGACACCCACAGAGGGCAAAACAGGTGGAGAAGATCAGAGCTCTGGTTCCAGTCAACTCCAAATTGCATGTTCTGACCCACTTCATCAGGCACACAGAAGCTCTCTGCTGCCAATAGACCATGTGTGTTCTCCCTACACACATCATTTGACAAGACGACCTGTAAATATAATGTCACTTTACAAAGATTCAAGTCTGAAAGTAAAGTCTGGCATTCTTAGTATTTTCTCTTACATCTTCAACAACTGTTTCTAAGTTCCTTTTCCATTGGACAAATTTGCTTTTTCCCCACTCCTTGTGGTATTTGATCAATTGTGTGCTTAGAAACCTAGCAGTCTCAAAAGCTTGCTTTCTCTTGCTATTCATTGTGAACAAAAGGGTGATATATTAGCAGATATGAAGGATGAAAAATACCTGTAAAGTTCAAATAGCAAAGCACTGTTACCTGTCTGCATCCACAGTCACATCGTGAACCCCTCTTTGGATGATATCTCGAGAGGCAGCTAGGTCTGGTATTCGGTTCAAACTTCTTGTATATAGGTTGAGTCCTCCATCTGTCATGTACCTGAAAATAAATGTGTGGTCAGTCAGAGCACAATGCAGCCATCTTTCAACCATGTTTCACTCTAAAGTTAATGGACTGCGGAATTTAATTGTTGGAGGTACTGGCTGTCCAATTAGGTGATAGACTTATACTAAACATTCCCACCTTGTGTGCCCAATGCAGGGAGATCAGATAAATGCCTGTTTTCTAGGATCATTTGTCTTTTTCTCTGATGGCCAACCTGTTTTATTAAAATGCATTTAGATCAAAACCCTCAAGTAGCATAAAAAATGTTAAGTACATTTTAAGCCCTGTAGTTTTGTCAAATAACAGCACAACATGCAAGAAGAACAACTCTAGTTATAAAGAAAAAGAAAAGGAGAAAAAAATCAGTAACATCCATCTAAATGGGAACAGAAAGTGGAATGCAAATCTGAAGTCCCTCCTGGGATGCAATCATTCAGATATGAAAGAGTTACCCACAATGACATTTAAGAATCTGTTTCTATCTCTGTTCCTTTAGCTTGATTCCTACCACTTCAGATTATAAAAAATGACTAATGAATTGAACAGAGAGTCTAGTGCTGGTTACATACTAGTGAACCATTAAAAGTTTCTGAATTTCAAGTAGCAGTGAAAACTTCTGGCATGCATACCTACAGTTTAATATCTTTACAAGAAGTCTTGGTGCTTGTAACTGAGTAGTACCACAAGCCTGTCCTACTATCAAAACCTGTCCATTATTTTCTCAAAAGACCTTTCATGAAACTCACTTCCCTCTTAGGCTTTTGCTTTTTACATTTTTCTTTTTTAGTTTTTGGTAACTTTAGTGTAGTAACCTAGTACAGAGTTTTCACAATTCTTATTTTTTTTGGAAGGACTAGGCACATGTATGATACTTAATATAGAAGTATACATACACAGAAAAAAACAACAACTGGTATGCCTCAGTGAATGGGAAGTAAATTCTACAGGCTTATGGAAATAAGTATAGTCCTGATGCCAGGATGATGGCTAAAATGTTCTACCAGAGTTTACTCGCTATGCAAATAATCTTTAACACAGGTTCTCCCTGAGCCATGAAATGGTGCCACTCAAAACCATCTTTCAGTCACCGCATGTGTCCAAGTACACAAATATTAAATGTTAATACTCTACACAGACTCTCAGGCACAAGCCAAGGCACACACACACAGTGCTGATGCTCCAGATGTTCTGCTGGCCCTCTCCCTCCAGTTCCTTCTGGGAGCTGCTTTAATTGAAACCAACTGTCCCAGAGACCATGGAACAGCTCAGAAGCTCCCATCCCTGCATGGTGGGTAAGCTGGTGCAGGTTTTGAGAGCAAACCTGTGGCAGTGTAGCCCTGTGCAACAGCTACAGCCGGAGTCAGCATCGCATCCTGAGTCGAAATCCGGAGGAAGCAAATTTTAGGTGCATTCAAACACAAAGGGCTGGTTTGTTTATTCTTAACTAAACTCTAAGTCATTTTATGCACTGGTAAGATTTGGCCTGCAGTTCAGCAAGAGATTTCTGAAACCCTGGTATCTGGAGTCTGCAGAAGGTAACTTCAAATTTGTTTTCAAAGGTAAACTAACAGTCATGCTCACACACTAGATTTATCCTTTTATTAAAGAAAAAAAAAAAAATAGACTTTTTGACAGATTCTTTAGCTTGGGAAGACTTACGCAAAAGATTCTAAGGCTTCAGAATTGCATGTTAAATTTAGCTGTGGTTTAAATGAAATCCAGTCTGTATGGATTTTTTTCCTTTATGTGTAATAAGGCCCATATGGAGAGTCTTAACAAGTGCAACAGGCTTTCCTCACACTAATTTCTAATTACTGCTGCATTCCTGTCCCCAAGTGTTTAAAGTAATTAAACTGAAAATGGAAGAGGCATAAAGGAGATAAGAGTTCACATGCTTCAATGAATTCTGAATTTTCAGACCTTATTAACTTGTTTTTTAACATTTTCTTGGGAAGACTTACGCAAAAGATTCTAAGGCTTCAGAATTGCATGTTAAATTTAGCTGTGGTTTAAATGAAATCCAGTCTGTATGGATTTTTTTCCTTTATGTGTAATAAGGCCCATATGGAGAGTCTTAACAAGTGCAACAGGCTTTCCTCACACTAATTTCTAATTACTGCTGCATTCCTGTCCCCAAGTGTTTAAAGTAATTAAACTGAAAATGGAAGAGGCATAAAGGAGATAAGAGTTCACATGCTTCAATGAATTCTGAATTTTCAGACCTTATTAACTTGTTTTTTAACATTTTGTGCACCTAAAAATGTTAACTGAGCACATTGCAACTTACTGTCTATTGAGTCATCCTTATTACAGATGCAAAGAAAAGTCACACAAGATGACTATATTAATTCTTTAATGTGATAAGCTAATTAATACAACTCGTCAGGCACTGCAAAGTATTTCCCTATATCTTTTTTTCAATTTTTTAAAATAAACTTATGCATGAATCAAAGGCAGCATTTACATTTCCTTTATGATTAAAGGTCTTCAGATGTTAAAGTATTGCACTTTCCATATGTCTTTTCTCTATTCTAGCACACATGAATATGGTTTCCTACTTGACAGCCTCTAATGCTGTGTTGTGGACAACCTTGTCAGCAGTGCTCCATTCATGGGTCACTGAGACAGTGCACCAGGGAGATACAGGAATTTCCTTTATTTATAATTATGCTTTTTCTAGAGATCTATCTTTGGATGGTGCTTGAGGTAAAACACTACTCTAGAGAGGCCTTTGATCACAGACTTACTTTTTCTCTTTGGAATGTATCATATCCAATTTCATCAGCCACCATTCTCTAATCACAGCTATACTTCAAACGAAAAGATTAGACTGACAGCACAAGTCCTAAATTTATACAGAGTGGAGTAGTGTGGTGTGACGTGGCCATGTACTCTATGGAACTTCTATTGAATCCAATGTTACCTCAGCCACCAAGCAGCCTTGAGATGCCAACAATAGTACCAAACAGTAAGTTAAATATAAGTAAAAAGTAACAAGTCTTTTTATTATTATTTTTTTAAAAAATATGCTTTAGGAGTTCTAGCATACATAGGAGTGAAGCGATTTATGTTTATAAGATCGATATAAGAATTGTTAAATAGTAATTTGAAACAGAGGCAATGCAGTAACCCAAAGTCAATCAACTGATTAAGCAAACAAACAAAAAACAAAACAAAAAACCCTTGTCATTCTTCCTCCAGGGTATGCTAGGAGAGTGACTGATACGTTCTATGAAAAGATATTCCTACAGCTCAGGCAATATGAACAGCTGAACTGGAGTAAAGGCCTATCACACAGACTCTACTAGACAATGTCTGAAGTGGAAACAGCAGGTCAGGCCTTTCAGCAATGTTTTCTAATCACTTGCATTCAATATCATCTCTACCATCTCAGATTAAACATAAAAATACTGAAAGAAGACCCACCCCAAGGCAAGTAATGCAAGACACTGGCTTACCAGCTAACTAGAAATTGCAGCAAGTAATATGAAGTACCCTTGCTCTTCTCAAAGTTCATTGCAAAGTCATGTTGATGTCAAAGGATAACAACTGAATTTGAAGGCAGGTGAGAACACCACTGGCAGCTTAGGAGCTTATTTTTTTGTTGGCTTTTTTAATATGTATAGTTTTAATGTAGCACCATAACACAACTTCCATTCATGTGCCAGAATTTGTTAGAAAAGTCCTATCAAACCTGCCAATTGTGCATTAGTCCAAATGGGGAAAAAGCGCTACTTACCCACTGTTGATGTCATCAGTTCGGAGGCTCTTCCCAAGAATGTCGCCATCGCTCATGTAGCCACCAACGTCAACTTCAGAGGACATGTCCAAATCGCTGCTTCCCTTCTCGCTCATGTCGATCTGTGAGATATTCCCCAGGCGAGAGACGGCTGCTCGGCGGAGGGGGGTGGTGTACATGAACCGAGATGGGTCTGTGTGTATGAAGCGACTCGCGCTGCTGCGAGGATAACCCGTGCCCAGGGACGGGGCATCTCCTGCCTGCAGCCGGGGGCTGGCCTGCCCTAGCCTCCAAGTCACTGGGGTGGACCGGCTTGTCAAGCTTGGTATGCTTCTCCCATTCACCTCAGTGGTCACAGTGCTGTCAAAAGTTGTCTCCAATGTGCTGTCAAGCAAAATGGAGAAGTGAGTGAACTGTGCTTTTTCTGTTCCGGAGAAACAAGCAGAAGCAAAAGCTGGAAGAATGGATAATTTTTCCAGAAGTTCTCTGTGTGTGTGCATGAGTCTGCATGTGCACACATGTGTTTATGTATACAATAACCTCTACTTATAAAATAACCTAAATAAATGTTATGGGCTTCTAAGTACATGTACAGGAAACAATAACTATCTTTATGAATAATTGTATAAGATGTTTTGACAGCAAAGTATATTAAAGTCACATTTAAGTTGTTGAGGTAGTCTAGCAAACAGTATGGTTAGTGTCACAGTTAGTTTTCCCCTGCAAGTCTCTAATTCATTCAGCCACTAGTAATACTCTCCTACAGTCCAAATTTTTAGCAGTCTACACAAAAATAGTATACCTGTGGCTTATCTGGGTCCCTCTAAGGCTGGACATAGTTTCTTCCAAATTCTGTCTCAGGTCTGCTATATTCTTTACAGTTCTCATTCTTCTTGTTTCAGGGTCTTCCCCTGGAAGGAAACACAAAAAGCCAGCATAAATTTTTATGTACATGAGTGTATAAGGTTGAATAAAGTGCACATATGTATACACAGCTGGGATACATACATATGACTGTAAATAGGTCTGTCCCTTTAATCTTTTACAAAATAAAACCTCATCCTTTCAGTAATAAAACACACACATGCTTATAAACAACATGTGGGATGTAAAAATCCCACTGAAAAGAGTCCTGGTGAAGTATTATTGTTAGAGCACAAATCTATTAATGAAACTCAGATTTAGAGTGTTGGGATTTTTTTATCCTCTGTAATCAAGGCACGAAGCAGCCCCAGACCACTTGATACATTACACAGCCCCTTTTTCCTCCTTGATATTTTACATGACTTGGTAGGAAATAAAGCCACAGTAAATTTGTGTCTGGAAAGAATTGAGATGACTTACAACTCTTCAGTATGCACTTAACAGCCAGGCTATTGCAAAGCACTCTTTAAGTCAGGCACTTAATAAAGCATCTTTTCTGAACTGCAATATTTTCTTGAAGGGGGAGATTACTATTCATATGGGATTAAAAATATTTTTGGAATAAAAATCTGAACACATGCATCATTTATACTTTTATGGATTTTAACAACTTCAGGGATCCATTGTGACAAGATAGTCTGGTATCTTGAGTACGAAAGCTCACAGAACTTCATCTGGAACATCCTGAATCATGTTTACTTCACATGATACTAAAAAAAAGCCCACAAACCAAAACCAAAACAAAAAAAACAGAAAAAAAAAAAAAGAAGATATATGTGTTACAAAAGAAAAATGTAATAAGCCTCAAAGCAACCTCCAAAAATCATATAATAATATGCAGAAATGTATACTTTCTAACATATCCACATATCAAGGAATTTTGTTTCATTTATCTCTTGGAGAATAAGAGAATTTAAAAAGAAAATCCATGATAAAATCAGTGATTGCTTCAAGTCTCGTATTCTGCTTCTGGCTGTGTGCTATATCTGTTGCTTGTAAGAAGATTGGCAAGAAGCATCATTATTCTAGTTATATGTACAATACTGGATGTGGAGTGAAAATAATTTCCTTTTGACTCTATGAGTGATAATTTTCATGTTGTAACTCAATTTGGTAATTTTACTACTTCTTGTGGAAATATTATAATCAAGAATGATACTGTGCAACCAGCAAAATTATCTCTAGTATTTAACTCTAGATTTCAGAATTTACATCCAGAACAAGCTTTTAGCCTGATCTTGGAATCCTTGTGACATTAAGAAACTGTTTCATTTTTTAGTATATCTAACAGGAGATAGTCCGGTGAATTTAAACTCAACATCATACAAAAATCAAGATCAGAAATCCAAGCAGAGGCAAAATACCATGTAGCACTATAGTATTTCACATTTGTGAAATGTTCAATACACATGCAGATACACATCTTCAAGTTGCTGTATTTCGCATCCTATTGCCACCTGTCCTCCTCCCAGGTTTGTGTGTAAATTTATAAGAGACATAAAATTAACAACGGTGATGTCTCTGAGGAAAAGCATGGTGTGCCATCCAAGTGAGAGAGGCAGGTGAAACAGCAGGTAGGAGGTGTTTGTCAAGCAGGCAAAACCAAAACCAAACCAAAACAAGAACAAAATATAAAAATCACAGAACCACAGAATCTTAGGGGTTGGAAGGGACCTCGAAAGATCATCCAGTCCAACTCCCCCTGCCAGAGCAGGGTCACCTAGAGTACATCACACAGGAATGCATCCAGGAGGGGTTTTGGAAAAGAAAAAAAAAAGAAGGTATCATTTGCAGAGTAGAAAAAATTGCAAAAAAGGAAGGAGGAGATCCTAATGTAGAGCTTGCAAGAAAGGTTGCACAGGACAGAGCTGGGAAATAGTCACTATGGGGCCAGACACATGGACAATTTTATATTTAACAAAGTATTCTGGAAAAGTAAAGAGAAAAAAAGTCATATGGGAAGAAATTCTGGCATTGGAAATATATAGTAACGTTGACAGGCAAATGATGCATGGTACTAGCCAGTGTACCCTGCAGTTGTGGCTCAATGTCAAGCCAGCTTTGACAGCAGTGCCAGGTTGAGGTTTTACCATCTACTCTGCACTGATTATGTCTTCTGTATTCTTTGCGGCAGCCAAACAGTCCTTCAGGAACGGCTGTTTGCTTGTTTGTTTTACTGCTCCAAATAAATTACCTACAGAAACTTCTGGGTTGGAACAGTGGAACTGATGGTGAGGTCACTTGGACAAGGTGGAGACAAGAAGTGGGGATACAGGCCCAGCACTGCTGCCAAACTCTCCATCTTCTCAAGCTACATCCCAAGGACATGTTCATTCACAAAATTTTGCTCCATAAAATAAACTACTTTTGTGCATTTTTACATGTAATACCTTTCAGGAGGAAAATGTTCACACTCAGACTGAAATTGTCATTGCTACTGTTTCAAGCTAAATCCATTCAGTCAAGCACCTTGCTGATCACTGTGCCCATGGACTCCATGCACTGTTTCCAAAGGTTTCTGCACCATCCTGGAGAGTCCCATGAGGCAAAAGGGCTCATGATAAAGCAAAGCTGGAGACCATTAAGTCCTGTTAGATTGAATCTACTGTTGAAAGCCCAGACAGATCCCAGGCAGACTCTCTGTGCCTGCCTCCAGGCAGCTGCCTGCAGTGAGCTCAGTTCCTCAGTGTTGCTGCCTTTTGCTTTCCTCCCTCCACCAAATGCACTCAAATTCATTTCCAGGAGCACATTATATTCCTGCCACAAGCCCCTTATGGAAAAGACCCAGGACCTCTTTCTTGCCCTATCTAAGGTGAAACAGTTGTAGATTTAAGACAGTTTTCTGTTACAAACAGAAAGACAAAGTCCAGGGTGTAAGTGGGCTGCATTAAAGGCAAAGCAATACTTCACCTTTATATTTATTTGAGGAAAGGAATATAATTCATATTGACAGTGACTGTGCCCTTTCCCTCCTTGTTTACCCTTGTCAGTTGTCCTTTGCTGTGTGTTAATATTAAAAACTCTTGCAGCAAAAATGACAACAGCTGTCTTTTTTAATATATAATGTACAGTTAGTAACATAGCAAAGCCTTGAGGTATAATTGCAATGCCAAAAAAAAAAAAAAAGGTACATATATATGGCAAACAGCCAAAATGTATTTTCACAGAGAAGAATATTTCACTTTCAGACAAATTATGCCATAAAAGTTGAGTCATTCTATCCTGGTCTAATATCTTTATCTCTCAGTGACACAAGGGGTCATTTCAAAATCTTTTCACTTTTTTTTTTTTTTTTTCCTAAAAGAGATACAACTGGAGTTTTATGATTTTAAAACACTACATAGTGCTACATACAGAATCCTCATAATGAGCTATTTAGTGTTTAAAAAAATTTGTTCTTTTTCCTTTCCATTCTGCTCTTAAGGCCATGTCAATGGACTCATGCTGTACCATGGAAGAACATGTCAGAAAGTATAAACAGTTGAACATGATCGAGACATTTTCTGCACTGGGTGCAAGATTCTCAGACCTAACTTGCATGTGATATTACCTACATTCCCAGGATAATTCTGTAGTTCCCTATCTCCAGCAAGCCTCCTTCTGTACAGAGGAGCATAGGGATGGTGAATACATGTGTTTTCTGTATGGGTTCAAAGGGAGCCCAGTCTAGCCCAGGTACCTTGTTACTTATTACTATGGCCCACTGCCATTGCTGAGTCTATCCATATTTGCATTGACCTACCATATCAGAAATGCTCTCTGTCTTGTTATCTCAAGTGATTCTGGTTTGTAGGCTGAAGAAAAGCCATTCTGTTTCATACACAGAAAGACTGGGACAAAAGAGACTAAAAGCAGACAACTCTGAAACCTTATTTCAAAATTCTGTTCCTCTTACAAGACAGTCTGATGTAAATATTTTAGTGACCCATGAAATATAATCTGCTCAAACCACTATAAACTTCATCACTTATGTTAAACATGAATATTACAAAAGATTGTCCCTAAATTCTTGCTTGTAAGCAATGAACCATTACAGGTTCTCTCAACACATTTCTAGAGAACACAATAATTTCTCCCATTCTGTGAGACATGTTCACAGGAAACCAAAAGAAACATTTCTGGGTTAAGCCTTTACATTCACATTCCTGAAGCTCACCCACAATTGTACATTTAATAATGCTGTTTATAGTAATTTCAGTGCTTCCACACATGTAATTACAGCCCAAAGCAGATAAATGGGAGAACAATTCCATTAATTGTCTGATTTTCATAAAAGGACTTAGAAATAATAAGCAGCTCCCCAGAGAATTGTCCACTCTTAAATATTAACTCAATTCACAAAGGGAAGTACCAGTTTTACTCTGCATGTGGGGAAACTGAGGCTCAAAATAGAACAGGGATTTGCTCAGTGACACGCAACTGAAGACGAGCAGGAGTAGGTGGAGAGCTCAGCTTTTTTTGCTTACAAACCTCTAATCTCTAGGAGAAGCCTCTTTTAGCATACCTGTATAGTCTAATCATAACAGGTATGCATAAAGAGACAATCCTTGTTTCTTTGTTATTTTGAGATGATATCTTTTTGTGTTACATACACAGCAAAAATTTTATCCTGAATGTTAAACACACTCAGGGCTAACACATCCACCAGCAAAGAATCTCCAGGCTAGACACATGCTACATAACCTCGGAAAAGCAAGTAGCCACTTTGAACCATTTGACTGGCTGAAGAACAAAGCTTTGGAAATGAACACTTTGAGCACTCTTATAAAAGGGCTGAGAGATGAAAAGTAAAACCAGTAACACAGAAGCGTTTTGAAGCACTTATCTATGGCTGTGGGCTTCAAATGCTCCCTGGCATGCACTGATATAGCTAAACTGGTTATTAAAACTAAACTAAAATCCAGGCACTCAGAATTCCATGTGTATGGATGACATTAACTGGGGGGGGGGGGAGAAGGGAGAAGAGGGAGGCAATAATGGAGGGACA